ACTTTGACAATGGAAATCAGCAAGGGCCTTTATGTGGACAGCTCCCAGATTTTTATCTACACAGTTGTTCATACAGGGCCCAGGCCTATAAAACTCCTTTCTATCCTTTAAGGTTTTGTCTTTTTCTGCCCTAGTCCATAAAGTAATAACCTTGCTGATGCTTGGGGATCAATAGGGGAAAGCTAACCCTGGCCCCATACTTCTAAGTTGGATTTTCCTGCCTGATTTTTCATATGTTCATTCCATAGGTGTTTGGATAGGGGCAGTTTGTTCCTATTACATTGTACCTAATATTCTTCCATACTTGGTCCTCAAACTGATTTTGAGGAAGATCATAGATAATAAAAATGGAAAAAACAGACAAATATGCTTTCTGGTGGGGGAAACCTAAATTAAGACTGTAAATACTGGTTAGCAATAAACAAAGCAAAACTGGGAAGTCATTCATTGGTGACCCAGACAGGTATTTTTGTTTCATGATGACTTCATCAAGCAAACTAAGAGAAGAAGACAAAGTTCAGTCACAGAACACTTGTCATCATTAGTGCAATTTGCTAGAACTTGGGGGAACCTCACCTTTATATGACTGGAACTTCAGGGTGCTAGGCTATGACTGTTCCCCATATCCAGAAATAACTAAGAAGTCTCTTAGGTTCTACATTGAAGATTTTTTATGGGCCTAAAACCACCTACAGCTCCCTTCTAAGATTGGGTGGTACAGAGGCAATGCGATGCAAAGCCCTGAATTTTGAGTCAGAACATAAGAACACTAGATTTGAGTTCAAATTCCTACTTTGCTTCTTGCTAGCCATATGACTTTGGGTGAGTTATTTCAATTCTGTGGTTCTCAGTTTCCCCATCTGTAAGATAAATGGGTTACATTCAATCACTTCTAAAGTACCATCTAGCTCTAAAAATTCTATTACTTTTCTTAATTATAAGGAGATTTCCATAACATTAATCTTCTTTTCCCATCTGTCCTTCTATGAGCCTTTTGATTCACGGAGTCTGATCAAGCTCTGGTAGCTTAAAGTGCCCTGAAATGCTTTGTTTTTGAGCTCTAACACTGAATCTCCTACAAGAAGACATACTCTGGGGACTTCCCTGGCAATCCTGTAGAGAGTGAAGGTCAGACGCTGACAAGCAGCTGGATGAGGGTGGGGAAAGTCCTCTTCCAAACTCAGTTTTCCTCAAATGTGTCCGCTATAAATTTCTAGCAAGCACTACATGTCAGAGTCCTCCAAACGTTCATCTTCTACTGGCCTCTCAGGGATTATTGCCACAACACGAGGTTGTGGCCAGTGTCCCTGGGACTCGCTTGGGGAACTGTGTGGGTATCTAAAAATGGATTATGAGTAGAGGTACCAATAACCTCAAATAACTGAGTAAAGGGCTTTTACCCAAGAGGAAGTTTTCTAATCATGCTATGTCCTGATTTGTTCCCAGGCTTGGCTTTAACAAAGTTTTACATTTCCTATGGACCTAGGCCTCCTGAAAATAATTTTGGCATATAAGGAGCCCATTTTCAGGTATTTTCATCAAAATTAGGGTTCTGACCTTAGAAGTTACCCAATTCATGATTCATTTGATATTGGGATCTCTCCTACAATAACCACAAGCAGTCATCCAGACTCTGCTTAGACACATATGAAGATGGGGAGCTCATCACCTCACAAGCCTGCCCACTTTTGTTGTCCTTTATTGGAATATTGGAAACATTTCTTCCCAGAAAGTGCTATAAATGATGAATAGATCCTATGGAATCATGTAGTTCAGTTATATTATGTCTTAAATAGTTTACAAAGCACTTTAAAACTTTAAAATATTATGGAAACATCCACTATTATTATTTTAGGACATGGGGGTTATCACCATTAAAAAATTAACTTCATGTCTTCTCACTTGTGGGCAGTAATATTTTATAACATTCATATGCTACATTTCCTTTAGCCATTTTCTAATTGATGGGTACCTACTTTGTTTCTAGTTCATTGCTCCCATGCAAAGTATGCTATGACTATTTTGTTGTACATGGGACCATTCTGCTTTTGAACTTCTTTGGATAGAAGTCTAGAAGTGGGATCTCTGGGTCAGAGCATGGGCATTTTAATCACTTAATTAGGATAACTGTAAATTGCTTTACAGAATGGTTGGATTAATAGCTCTACCCACCTTGTATCAGAGTGTCTGCCTTTCACATCCCCTCCAAAAGTGACCATTCCCATCTTTTGTCATCTGAACCTAACATTTCTAAATGTTACAAGGAAACCTCAGTTTTGATTTGCATTTGCCTTATTAGTGATATTTTCCCCTAATCTTTCGTATGGTTAATAATTTATAATTATTCTTTTGAGAAGTTTGTTCATATCTTTTGACCATATATCCACTGGGGAATAGCTCTTGGTCTTATATATTTGTGTTAATTCTCTATATATGATGTAAAGATTTTTTCCCCCAATTGAATTTTCCTTCTTATCCTAGATGCACTGATTTTGTGTAGGTCACCAATTTCACGTAATCAAAGTGATCCCTTTTTGCCTTCTGTGATCTTTTTTCCTTCACTTGGACTCTAGCCACAACCTCATGCTGTAGCAACAATCTGAGAGGTTAGTAGAGAATGTATGTTTAGGGGACTCTGACATGTAGTGCTTGCTAGAAATTTATAACGGACACATTTCAGAAAACTCAGAGTCTGGAAGAGGACTCCTTTCCCCACCCTCATCCAGCTGCTGGTCAGCGTCTGACCTTCTCTCTCTACAGGATTGCCAGGGAAGTCCTCAGAGTATGTCTCCTTGTAGGAGATTCAGTGTTTCCTACTACTGCTCTAATATGCTAGAGTTCAAAAATATGGCATTTTAAGCTGCCAGAGCTTGATGAGACTTTGTGAATGAAGAATGAGAATGCAACGGTCTATTTATTCACTTGATTTCCTTCATTCTCACCCTAACCAAGGCTATAAGGGAATATTATCTGATCTTATTCTTTTAGTTTGTATAGTGTGATCCTTAGTGTTCAGGTCACACATTCATTTTGAGCTTACTGTGGGTTACGTCATGAGATGATGGTCAAAACGTAATTTTTGTCAAACTGTTTTCCAGTTTTCTCAGTAGAAAATTTTTTCCCCTAAGTAATTTATGCTTGTGTTGAACAAACCCTGGATTTAGATTCTGAAGCTTGCTTCTCTAGTTGGTTGAAGGAACTAGGACTATTTTAACATGCAGAAGACTTTAGGGAGACATGATAGTTGCATTCAAGTACCTGACAGGCTATTGTGTGGAAGAACGACTAAATTCATTCTCTTCAATGCCAGGAAGAACTTCCAAACAATTTGAACTATTCAAAAGCATAATGAACTGAGGTGGTGGAGTTTCCCTTCCTTGAAGGTTTTCAAATGGCATCTGGATGACCAATTTGTCTAATGTTATGATGGAAATTCCTTCCAGATAAGGGTTGGACCAGATGGTCACTGAGATCTCTTCCCTTTCTCAAAGGCTGATGTTTTACTGACCCAACTTTTCCATTTTTTTAAAAAAATAAGCATCAAATGGTTTCACTAATTACTGGTTCAATGCATTGAAGTTTGGAAATGCTATGCCTCCTTCATTTTTACTACACCTCACTCCTTATTTCCCTCGAAATTCTACACTTCATGCTGCTCCAAATGAATTTTGCCACTATTTTGTCAAACTCTATGAATTACTTCTTGACAGTTTGATTAACACCAAATCGAATAATCCCATAATTTCTTAATTGAAGCCCAACTATGAGCAACGAATGTTCTGCCAAACATTTGACATTTGTCTTTAAAGTGTTTTGTAACTCTATTTCTACAGACCTTGAATATTTCTTGGTAGACATTTTTTTATACTTTAATATTTAGAATTTATATTATTTCTTCTTGGGTTTTATTGTTGCTGCATAGGGAAATGCTGAAAATTTTCATGGATTTCTATTGAATCTTTTGTTCCTGAAACTATTAATTATCTCAGAGTCTATGCTGATACTCTTGAATATTCTAAATAAACTATCACATGGCTTCACAATGGGGACATGTGCCTCCTCTTAGTCACTGCCTGCCTTTCTTGTTTTATTGCTGTTGTGAGCATTTTTAGTCATGTCAAATAACAGGGAGAAAGGGCATCTTTCTTTTACACCTGCTTTTATTCTGAAACCCTATGGTTCTTTAGTACCAGAAGGTAACCAAAATCATTCCTTTATCTCACAGGAACCAGCTTTCATGGCATATAATGTTTGAAGAAATTGGAGGTGTTTTAGCATTGAAGAGAAAGTTTGGGGTAGCAAAGGATGGGGCATGACAACTGTTTTCAAGTATTATAAGGCCTACCTCTTAGAATGAGGGATTGGAGATGTTATGTTTGGTCACATGGTGAAGAATAAAGGAAAGAGAGAGAGGAGTGGGGGGAGGGACAGGGAGGGAAGAGATAAACACTCAATTAGCCTGTCCAAAAGTAGAATGGCCTGCCTTAGAAGTCATTAAGTTCTCCCTCCATGGAGGTCTTCGAGGGAAGTACTTGTCAAAGAGGTTGCAGAGAGGATTTTGCTGGTAGGTTCAACTAGATGCAGTACGGTATAGTAAAAAGAATGGATTTGGAATTAAAGGATCAGGATTCTTAAGGCTGTTACATGCTATATGACCATGGGAATCTCTTAACCCCTCTGGGCCTCAAGTGGGAACCAAGTGATACAATGAACATAAAATTACTTTGCAAACCTAAAAACACCATATAAATGTCAGTTATTGTTTTCATTATTATTATTAGTGGTACCAGCAGTAAAATAAGGGGATTGGACCCAGTGGCCCTTGAAGTCCCTTCCAACTCTAGATGTCTACAGGCAACTTCAAATCAAAGTCAGATCATCCAGTAAGAACTAACTGAAATTGTTCAAAAAGTTTAGGATAAACAGTGTCCTTTTCTGTATTGATTGATAGATATATACCTATTAAAAGTGATCCAAGTCCAAAGAAACAAGACATGCCACCAAATGGAAAAATCATTTAATTTGAAATCAAACTTCCACTCCTTTTACAGGGATTGTCACACAAACTGACCAAATGTAAGAAAGGAAAGTCTCAAAGGCCACGTGGACAGAAATTGCTTGGTCTCCATAGCTGCAGTAGAATAAAGCAATAGCATTTTTTTTCTTTAAAGCTCGCACATGGTGAAACAAAACAAATATCTGTTTTACTAATAACTGGTGTCTGTGTGTGGGGTGAGTTGCACTCTAATCACAAATTACTTTGTAATTACTGTACTGGATTCTACACACCAGTCAATACCAAATACTGAGTTGAAGTTTAAGATAGTGCATTATTTATACAGTATAATTTTTTAACATTAAGGTGCCATTTTTAAGTACTTTATTAATATTTATTACATCACAGCACTTTATAGCACACTCAAAGGTAGCCTAAATAACAAATTAAAACATGCATAATCTTTCTTTCCTGAAATATTGACATCTTTGAGAATGCTTCTGAACATGGTAGCTGAGAACCAGTTACCACAATCAATGTATGATTTTTCAACATAATTTTAAGTTAATAAAGAACATCGCTGTAGATAGTAAACATCTTATAAATATGAACAAAGTTTTAAAATGGCACTTAATTTACACCTCTGATCATTTTTTAGAGTCAGTAACTTGCCTCTCTAACCTATTTCCTAACCCCTGAATCTTTAACTCTACAATGGCTCAGTGACTGCAGGCTTCTGTGGGTCTGCTTATATAACTATATATGTAAATATATGTTATGTACATACATATACACAAACACATACTCATATATATATATATCTACATATAGATATATATATATGTTGAATTTTCAGATCTTTCCATTCACAGGTATAGAACTAACCCTGGATGTGATATGCCTGTGAGGATGGACATTTAAATGGTCAAGAAAGATGCCTGTAGTCTTTGTATAGCAAGGTGGAAACCATTCGGTACCATCACTTAACACTTTCAAGGCATGGTCTGAGTAGCCTAGATGCTGTGACATTCTGCTGATTTTTCTATTTTTATTCTAATATTCTGCTTCTCAAATGGGAACACTGTAGAAAATTTTGACTAGGGGAATGATACTAAAATCATCACTTGGGCATTCAACAGTATTCTGGGGCCTGCCTCAACTTCCAATGTTGTTATCATGTCATATTCCCCATCTCGTTGTGCACTGTGACGTATAGACCCATGGAGTGATGTTAGTTCCTTAATCTCCCAAGGGGTCCCTCTAGAAGTAGTGTTAGATGCCTACTCATTCCACTGCTTGGTTTTGGTGCATTTGGATTTTCTAAGTGTCTTTTCACCCCATGTTTGGAAGCTCTTTAAATGAAAATTATAGATATCAAAGGAAGAAGCTAATTATAACCCTTTGGAGTCTTATCACAGGTAGTCTGTAAGAGTAAGGTTCATTTCACTACTACTGGTATTTTATTCTCCAAGTAGGGAGCAACAGGGCGTTCTTGGGGGATCAGTATGGCTGCTAAACACATCTGAGCATATGGAGAATTTTTTAAACACCAGCACAGTGAACTGCCTAATAGCTGCTGACTTTATTGGGAAGTATGAAACAGGACTGTCAAAGTAACTGATTATAGGAAAATTAGCCAGAGATAACGGTTAACTCTCTAAACTGGAACATATTGGTAACAATTTTTTTTTTAAAATCAGGCAGCAAATTTTAATACTGACTGCTTTTCTGGCCGTGACAGAGTTGTTTTTCCAATACATATAGGCCTATGTTAAATTGTATGGCTGTAGAAGGAACTGACGTTCCCAATGTACCTTTATACATAACTGTCCAATAGATGATTCATGGTGCCTTTAGGAAGTAGGAGCGCCTAAAAGGCAAAATGCCCTAAGGTAATGAACTTCTAAGTCACCTGAAGCTCTACTAATCAGGCAGGACTGTTATTTTTATTATTCCCAAATCTATGATTTAAAGAGGTGTTAGAGTTCTTTCCTCTCTGGGCACTGTTACAAGTAGAGTCCTAGGCAAGTGTCCAAACTGACCTTCAGTAAGGTCATTATCACCCACAAATGTGTCATTTGTTTTCAGTGTCCATGGAGCACCAAGCAAAAAGTGGACTAACACTGAAATGGGAATTTGGTCAGAGATAAGGAAGAACACTTTCACCTAGGAAGTGGTAAACATAAGGTTGGGAGATCAAAAGGAGGCTAGGCTGTATAACTTCTATCTCTGGAGATCTGAAAAGAGCTGAGAGAATTGCTGACCTCCTCAATACTGGGAGGTATGCCAGCTGACCCCATTCTTCAGGTCCTGGTAGTCATCTAGAAGATCTTCATCACTTTGACCAAAATAAAGGATCCATCAGGCTTTGTAAGAGGTGTCAGGTTCCAGGGTGAACTCAGGTAAACATTCACCAATGACCAGTTTCTCTACTCCAGTCCATCATTCCATCCTCCCTACCACATTTCTAATTAAGCTGAAAGATGGAAAACTGGGGGAAAATCAATAATGGAAATATTAAAGACCAAGGTTAAAAGGACAATGTCTTTCTTCTCCCTGGTCCCTTTTCAGAGTGGTTTTTTACCTGGTCTGGGGCTAATAGGCATGAAGACAGGCTGCTGAGAAAAGCAGAAAACATAGAGCCATCTGTCACTGGCCTAGAGTAGCCTAGCAAGGGAAGGGGATAAGCCTGAAAAATCTCAAGGACAGCAGCTCTATCTCCCTTTGGCTCCAAAACAAGACTCCCTGCTGTGGACTGATGAATAAGCTTCCAAGGGAAAATGCTTTGGACCACAGGACGGCAAAGGGGGAAACTTTCTCTAGTCAGGACAGTGCACAGAGCCCACATACACTTAGCTCTGACTGGGTACGTTGCTATTTAAATATACCAAATGTACTGAAAACTTTGGTTTGCTTCTTTTTATTGGTAAAAAAAAAAAAGCACACAAGACAAGACTGGAAATTGTTTGCCCTCGAAGTGACTGTTCCTTCTTTGGGAGATCCCTCCCTTCCTCTCTCATTCCCCCAAGGAATATACTCTGCCTTATCCATATGGACTCTGGTTCCTTGGGTTAATACCAACAACCCCTTTGAGCCCTTTCTTTCTGCCCATGCAGAACTCTTGTTCTGTTTATTCTACAGCAGTGTTCTTGGAAGACCTTGACTGGGTTACTAGAAAACACACAGTCGATCCTTGAGCTGTGATAAAATGACAAGGGGGAACTCGCATGAACTGGGGATGAAAACAAAACACCTGGCTCTGATAACATTGATGGCATCGATGAGGCTAGAACCTTCTATGCCAATGAGGATAAAAGGAAGGACATGCTCGCGACCATCATGTTCACCTCTTGTTTCAATAGCTAGAAGAAAGGTGTATAGGAGGTAGAGGAAATAGGGAAGAAGGCCTAGATTTTAATCCCTTGCAGATACTCAAGAACCAGTGAGTCTTAGATGTGTGTGTGGGGGGGGGTGGGGGGAGGTAAGGGATAAAGATCCAGAAGCTGTCACATGTCCTCCATATATGGTAAGCATCATGCATTACCCCTAAGAGAATACCAACTGAAAATCCCTTGCTCTTTCCCCATGCCCACTGGCCACTGAAACACGCTCCTGCCTCTCCTACCTCACTACTCCAGAAGCTGATCAATCACTCAGTGGGAGGTTTTATTTACTTAAGCTCCTCCTTTCCTCTTACTCCAACACCAAGGCCTGAGAAAGAATTAGCTAATATTTCTGGATCAATGAAAGTTAGCAAAAGCACTTCCCACCAATCAAATGAGCAGTTGGGGCTAATTGAGATTTTGTCAGGGCTACGCTGGCTAAAGTGTCCTGATCATCCTTTTCTTCACCAAACAAGCTTGGGTCAAGTAGCTCATTCACTATAGCTCATCTTAAAATATCAAATATAAAACTTTACCATAGAGTATTCAAATTTCTCTATTTACAAGTTAATTTCTTCAATAAAAAAGTAAGATACAGTAATTCACCAACTCAAGTTTCATTTCTTTCTTTGAAGTTAATTCCACAGGAGTTGTAGGACTCAAGGGTCAGACAGGGAGAGGGTAATTCTCCTTGGTACAAACATGCTTGTTCCAAAAGGGCGGTCAGGCAGCTCAGCATTTTTCTTTTGTGAATGTGTCAGCCAATGAGATGCTGTTCAAAGGAATTTGTAAAGCTTTTTACCCTTAATACTCCTACCTGAAGCAGAAAACAGTCCCACTCTGGCCCCTTTCTTCCTACCCTAAGACAATCTCAGAAGACAATCTCTACCCACAAAGATCTTCCAAGTGCCCACCCTTCTTTGCAAAGAGAATATAATTTTCAAGAAACCACCTTTTTCCTTCTACTTTTTTTTTTCCTTGCGGGGGAAGAGGTCTCTTTTAGAATCACAATTTGCTAGAAGAACAATCTAATACTTAGGTGGACTGAAAAAACAATTTACTCTATACTAATGGCAGTGAATAGATGTGGCATCCTTGGCCACATGGTAAGAACTAGATATCCTTGAAAACCACCAAGAGAGGAATGGGGAGCTGGACTAGGCCCATTCCCCAAATGTGGAAACTCAATATTCTGTCGGACAAATTTGATAAGCAAGAGTTTGAGGGAATGGGGAAAGGGTGCAGTTCTGACTAAGCCCAGGAGAGGTGATGGGCAGGATATGGGACAAACAGAAAGACAAAGGGAATAAGTCATCTTTCAGGAGCAGCATCTTGTCCTCCAGAGAGGAAATGCCAGTTGAATGCAACACAAATGTTTTGCCTAGCTGCAATCTAATCTCAAAAATGCTATGAGGGTTTGCTCCAAATATAAACTGGTACGGCTCATGCTCATCCAGAAAGGGGCCAATTCCCAGCTGCTGTCATGCCTGCCCCCAAGGAGACCATCCCAGTTTCTCCGTTCTTCTGTGAAGTAGTCCTTTAAAACCATTAGGAAAAGATACCAATGCCAAGGGGTGAAGGAAAAGAGCAAAAGAGCAAAAAACTGTGTTTGAGAGATTGTGTTTTCTTTTTTTTGTTTGTTTTGCAGCAGGCCAGGTTGCCATGGTTACCAGGTGATCACAGCCCTCAGTTGAAGAGACAGGCCTTTGCTGGGGGGGGTGTGTGCTCCCTCCTGTGAGAAGATTGGACTGAGTTCTGCTGAGGATGGGCAAACAGCTGCTACAGAAATGGTGAGTGGTTTGAAATTATGTAAACAATGCCTTAACCCCTTCCCACCCCAAGATCAGACAGGCAGCAGCTTGCCTGCAAGCAGAGTGGGTCTCATGGAATGAAGAAAGAGCTTGCTGTAAACAAATGCAGAAGCCCACCCCACCATCAGAGAGAGACCCTTCTTCTGGTCAGTCTCCTTCCCCCACCTCCTGGGTTTCTGGGAGAAACTTATTGCCTACTCCTCCATGCCTGAGTCGTGTGCTCAGATCCCCCCAGGATGAGAATAAGTCCTCTCTGTTTGAAGCGTTCATGAGAAAATGGCCACGTTGCAAGCCTTCTACCAACGTCTCAGAACCCAGCTGTCCTCCTGATTCCACCACTCGAAGCACTGCTGTGCGCATCAGCTGAGATGATCACAGACACAGGGAAACTAGGATTCACAGAAACATTCATTTTGACAGAGGAAAAAGAGTCCATCGCCCTGCATTTCTCCTGGCTGAGAGAAATGATCTATTGCACCCTGATCAGCAGTTGTCATGGATACCATGTAACATTCAGCAGTATTGCTCGGGTGTCCAAACTTAGAGAAACTCAACGTAGTTCTCCGGGATTAATCCTGTCTTCCCATTCAGAGTTCCCTCTAACCAGCCAGGCTCCTGAGATGGATGAACTGTGAAAGAAGGCAAAGGAAAAAAGAAAAAGAGGAAACATTAATAGTTCAATTCCCTCAATAAACATTTGTCAAGGACCTACTATACTCAAATACACCGTACTAGGTACAGAGAAAGCTATACAGAGAAATAAAACATAGTCTATGTCTGTAAAGAACTTACAATCTAATCACTGGTATTGCAATGCAATTCAGAAATCCATTAAGCATTTTTCAAGTGCAAGGCATTGGATTTGGTACCCAGGGCACAGAAATGAAAAACTATACATTCTGATCTCAAGGAATTTGCAATCTATTGGGAAGAGGGATATAACATATATGAATATGTATCACGCAAGATAGAATGTAATAGGAACAAAAGACTTTCCCTTCTGATTATCAGGGAAGTATCCAAAAAAGGAAGGGATACTTGAATTGTCTTGAAGGGAGGGGAAGATTTTGAACAGAAGATGAGGAGGAATGATTCCTGCTATGGGAGATGTCCTGGAAAAGTTCATAGGAGATGGCTTGTTGAGTCTGGGGAAAGGTTTTTATGCCATTTTGATGAGAACCCAGAGATCATGAAGGAAGGTAATAATATGAAACAAAGAGAGAAAAATAGGTTGGAGGGAGACTGGGGAGGACCTTACAAGCCAGGCTAAGGAATTTGCATTTTAGTCTATAGGCAATAGGGCTTTGAGTAAAGGAGTGAGATAACCAGACTCATGCAATAGGAAATTAATTTTAGTAGCTGTGTGAAAGATGTTACAAGAGAGGAATTATATTTAAAGAGTGAAGAGTGAGTTACTAGGTAGTGATAAATTTGAAGAAAAAAGTATCAAGAAAACATTTTTTTTAATGCAAAGAACACATATTTTTTAGACCTGTCCAATGCACGTATTTGTTTTGTTTGACTATGTTTAAAAAAAAAAAGAGGAAAACAAATTCTCAATGAAACATTCTAAAAAGTCCACAGAAAAGAAGAAAGTTAAGAAGGAGATAAAGCCAAGGGGCAGCTAGGTGGTGCAGTGGATAGAGCACTGGCCTTGGAGTCACAAGAGGACCTGAGTTCAAATCTGACCTCAGACATATAACACTCACTAGCTGTGTGACCCTGAGCAAGTCACTTAACCCCAATTGCCTCACAAAAAAAAAAGAAAGAAAAAGAAAATATAAAGCCAATGTTGGAACTAATATGTTGAATTTATTATAAAATTGAAAAAAAAATCAAGCTGCAAGTAGTAGAGAGTTATAGTTTCATATATAATTCTCCTTTTCTGTTTTTTGTATACTGAAATGTTTGTTGATGTGTGTCAAGGTCAGAATAACAAAAAATAAAAATTAAAATCCTGAGGCAAAAATACAGTATCATAAAAAATAGAAATTGCACTGAAGAACACAAAATCAACTTCAGTAAAGGAAAGAAATAGAACAATTTTGTTGGCGGCCATGTTAAATTTAATACAGGTACAAAAAATTTCTTTGAAAGACTATGTAGGTTGGGGCAGCTAGGTGGCGCAGTGGATAGAGCATTGGCCCTGGAGTCAGGATGACCCGAGTTCAAATCCAGGCTCAGACACATAATACTTACTAGCTGGGTGACTGTGGGCAAGTCACTTAACCCCAATTGCCTCACCAAAAAAAAAAAAAAAAAGGGATTGTAAAAGTTTAGTTTCTCATCTCATATGACTTTCTTACTTTGTATACATTAAAATGTTTGTATTGGTTAAGTTCACAATAAAATAATTTTTATAAAAAATTTTTTTTAAAGTGTAGACCTGATACAAAGAATAAGGGGACCAGAATATTAATTAGGAGGCTATTGTTTAGATTAGGGCAGCTAGGTGGCACAGTGAATAATGCGCCAGGTCTAGAGTTAGGAAGACTCATCTTCCTGAGCTCAACTCTGGCCTCAGACATTTATTAGCTGTGTGACCTGGGGCAAGTCACTTAACCCTATTTGTCTCAGTCTCCTCATTTGTAAAATAAGCTGGTGAAGGAAATGGCAAATCACTTCTGCCAAAAAAAATCCCAAATGGGGTCATGAAGAGTTGGACATGACTAATAACAATTGGTTAGATTAGTGTAGACAAAAGGAAAGGGGCCTGAAGTAGGATGGTGGTGGGGTGAGTGGAGAGGAAATAAATGCAGTGTTACGGGGGAAGACCCTGCAGGGCTTGGCAAATGGATGTAAAGGCTGAGGGAGAATGAAAGATGACTCTCAGTTTCTGAACCTGAGTGTTTATTTTCTTAGCACCACCATTCCTCCCTGAGAAGTTAGGAGAAAGCTGGAAGGATGATGAGCCCAGGCTTGAACATGATGAGTTTCAAAAGGTTCTCCCTAAACCCTCAAGGATGGTTCTGACCAGAGATCACTCAGGTGATTTATGAAGGGTGTTTCAAAAGTTTTGGTGTAGGTTTAGTCTTTTATAGCTTTAGTAAGCTTTATTAACCATGAATAGCTTAAACCTGCACTAAGACTTTTGGGACACCTGTCTAATTCTACGATTTACTTGAATGAAGCTACAAAGTTATTAATTATTTCTTTGGGGTAAGTACTGAATCACTTGTAGCAATGAACCCTAACAACTAGTCTGGATATAATTTCACGGTGTCCTTCCTGGTTGTCCATTTTATTTTTCTCTTAAACCTTACCCCTATTGCCAATTTCCCTTCTAGTGATGTACATTGGTATACTTCCTCTTCCTTTTTGAACTTCATTCAATTCTATTAATTCCTATTGACCTATTTTTTAAACATTCTATTTCTATGTTAACCCCTTTCCTAGCCAGAGAGCCAAGGGAAAAAAAAATTTAATGGAACTAGGCAACTTATTAAATGAGTCTGATAGTATGTGTAATGTTCCACCCATCACTATCCCCTCCTCTGCAAAATAGAGAAGAAAGTGCATTTTTTTTCATCTCTTCTTTGGAGCCAATCTTGGTCATGAAAATCACTCACATTCATGAGTTGGTTTTTGTTGTTGCCATTTACGTTTTTGTCACTGTATCCTCAATAAGCATTTATTAAGCACCTACTATCTTCAAGCCACTATGCTAGGGTAGTGAGAATATAAAGGCAAAAATGAAAGAGTCCCTGTCCTCAAGGAGTTTCTTCTGCTCTCTGGAAGTTCCTCCTTTTCTTCCTTTTCTTGGCACCCTCACAACCTGAAAGACCTCCTCTTCCTTCTTCTAAAGCAAAGTTCAAAATTAGTCTTTCTATCTCAGGGTCACAACCTTCCCTGATCTTTTTTGGTTGGCTTTGACTTTTCAACAGGCAGAGAAGATACAGTCTCATTTGTGACATCACAATCAGTCTCCATGGAAACCATTGTGGTGATGAAAGGATTATATAAGCCTTGTTGAATTTGCAGAGTAGCCAAAAGCTGGAGGAAGGAAAGAAGGAAGGAAGGAAGGACTGTGAAGGGAATATTGATGTTTCAGCACTGATTGTATAAGCCTCACTCTGGGGAGAGAGCAAGGGCATTCATTTCTTGTCTATCAGGGAAACTCTAATTTTCTGAGATTGTTTTGAGAGAATTAAGTTTCCCCTACGCCCCTCCCCAGGCTAATTAAGTGACTTCCTGTACTTGTTTTAGAAAACTACTTCCACCCGAGAGCTACCATATAAACCTGGCTCGGGAAGAGGACGGAGCCTAGAAGCCCAGAAAGGAGACAGTGAAAAAAAAATGTGGACAGAAAAAAAGAAAAAAAAGCAGTGGAGGTGTACCCAGATTTATAAGACCAAAATTGCTCCAGCCTTCCTCCAGACCTAAATTCCTCTTTGGAAGAGAGAGGGTCAAAGCTTTCCCCTCTATCTCCTTGCTCTGGTGACTCTGCCATTAATTCCCTTGCACAATGCTCAGATACTGAACTCTGGGAAAGGATCCAAAGTAGCTGCTGGGCTTTGGACATTTGTCAGTATCTATAAAGAGGAAGTAGGAAAAAATACTTTAAGAAAACACTAAACAATAAAGAAAACACTAACCCTCTAAAAAAAAAAAACTCTTTAAGAAAACTTTTTTGGTACTTTCACCACTCCCTAGCACAGGGCCCTTGCACTTAGTAGGTACTTAATAGTTTATTTCACCCAATTCACTAGGAAGGCTTGAACCTAACTAAATACCTCTTATTATGTAGAGCTTCTGAAAAAGATACACATATCCAATCCATACCTCTCTCTACTACAATATGGCATCTGGCAACTGAAAAACTTCAATACCATTACAACTTAGAAAGAAACTAAAATCTTCCAGATGCGATTCCTCCTGATACTCAAGTACCCACCCCAACTCGTACTGTAAGGCAATTTCCAACTTTTAGATGGCTTTTAATCCAACGTCTCAGTCTTCATTTTAACCTCATCAAATCTGGCAAGACCCTAAGTTCAACCCAACTTCAGGAAGCCTTAAGCTCTCCAACAACAAAATCCCTGATAAGACTTTTTGTCCAAACCCAAGATCTTAGGACTGTAGTGTTGGAGGGAGACTTGGAAGTCATCTAGTTCACTTCTTTCATATTTAACTAGAACACTTAATTATCTAAAATCCTACAGAGGAAGTTAATTTTCAAAGCCAAGATTTAAACCCAGGCTCTTCAAATCAGTGGTCTTTCCACCACACAATGCTTGCTGAACCCACTTCTTTCAGGCCAACCTCCTCATCACCAGCTATTCATAGAACTTACTGCTAATATGGGGGCAATCTGGATAAACTATGGTAATAGAAGAGGTTAGGATGTAACAGGAAGGCAGCGCTGAGAAGCCAATTAATAATAAACATGAGGGAGCTGAAACGACCAGCAAGAGACATGCAAAACTTTAGCTCATGAACTATGATGATTCTTCCAACAGGTGCCATCTTGGACGGCAATATCCTGCAGTGGGGCTCACACTAATGCTCCTGCATCTCGCTACTCCTGTTCTTTCCCCATCCTTTATTTAAACTGGAGTTCAAATCCAGCCTCAGACACTTACTAGTTGTGTGACTCTGGGTTAAGTCACTTAACTTCTGTCTGCCTCAA